CGGCGCGGAGGCCCGGCCGCAGCTCACCCTCGTGTTGCTGAGGAGGAACTCGGAGAGAGGGTGGGCGAGTGAGGGAGTTTGGGAAGCAAATGTGTCTGCTGACGCGGAGCAGGGAGCAGTGGGCTGGCAGAACGGGTATTACTTCAACACAGGGAATTCCTGATGCAGCGTTTGTGAGGAAGGGGAGGATGCTGCCGGGCTGCGTGCTGACACCTCTTAACGGGTCGCGATACGGGTCGCGCGTCGGTGACCGGGCTCTGTAGTCCCTTTGGCAAGGAGCGGGTGGTGTGTGTCCGTGCTCTTTATCCCAGTCTCCGTAGCAGGCAGCCTGGAAGGATGGTGGCTTTTTGGAGCTGTGATTTTCACCTTGCGCTTACAGGTGGTATCTTGCTCGAGAGACAATCTAGTGATGCTCATCCCAAGGCAGAAGGTAAAACGTTTGAGACTGACCGAACCAGCTTTATCATCTCCTGGAAAGTCTTATTTGTTTAACATCATTACCCATGTAAATATTAGAGATCTGTGCTTTAAAATCCGATAAAAACATGGCTTGTGTTTCAGGAGGTATGGAATAGTTATTAAAGGTGAAGAAGTAGGAAAGAATATTTTAAGAACCAATTTGGAGAGGAGAAAGAAGAAACTCTACCCCAGAAAATGACAGTTGCCTCAATGTAGGGAAGGACAGAAGCAAATAAGAGGAACAGAGATGAGGGAGTATGTCTGTAGGTGAGACTGGCATTATGTAAGCATTAAGAAGGTATAATTAATTAATAACTGTTCTAATGGGAGATAGAAAAGAAGGACAGATGTATTTTGTGGAAGGGAAGGGCCAGGCTTGTTTTGGAAGTCATACAGGCTTGTGGTCTTACTGGATGCAAGTTTAGGAAGCACGAGCGTTTACTTAGGATAGAATGTTGTGCAGAGTGGACCTCAGTGTCTTTTACTCCGATAAATGTGCCTGTCCTGTGGTTTAGGGGCTGAGAGCATGCAAACATCAGTGCTCAGGTTTCTGCCTATGGATGGTGATCGACTCCTGTCGTGGGTTTACATTAATGTAACTGGTGGTATTGGTGTTGGGTGGTACCTGCCTGTGAATAGTAAATAAACAGGGATTGAGTTTGAGCAGAACAACTAAACGTATCTCAGATGTTGCTTGCCTGTTACTAGACCAGCAGTTCAGCACCACTGCGCTGTGGGATTTTTGTTTTTTTGCTATATTATTTTTGTGGCAGTGGCAAGTATATTAAACTCTAGTGAATGTGAGTTGTTGTTGGTTGCACCCAGGCTCATATACTTTTCTGCAGTGTATCTGTTGCTGATGGGAGGGAATGGTGCTACTGCTCTGGTCTGGCAGAAGCACAGCCTTTGGATTTACCACTGTATCGCACTGTCAGGGCTGGAGTAGTTTCTTCTTCAATTTTTGTCTAACTCAGACTGAAATATTTTTGATTCTCTGAGTCAAAGTTGGTATATTTTGCATAGGGCAGCAGCATCACATTCCTTTTTCTTGAATTCTGAGTTTGATGAACGTGGTCTTTAATTTGTCAGATCAAGCAGTTTGTCGTCATTGTTACTGGATCCTTAGTATGGCCAAGCGAGCTTGGCGGGAGAGCAGTCCTCCTGCCTTTTTGGGTGGAAGAATGGAGAGGATCTCTTGAGCCTCTAGGGAGGGGGCACTGATAGACAGTGGGAGAGGTGGAATTTCAAGCCCCTTTTCTGAATATTGAGAGTGAAGTAAGATTCAGATCAGGGATTTCTCATCCTTCAAGCCAGAGGTTTGCCGTCCGAGGTCAGCAGTACATGGTTAACTTTTGATTACATGCTGGCTCGTGGTATTCCTGTGGAATTACTTGGGACACATGATACAGAGGTGGACGGGCTCTGTGCTTTTATGAAGGCTGCAGAACAGACAACACCTGGCCCAGCATAAGACCTGCCAGCACATCGTTAACATTTCACTCAGTTTTGGATATGTTGAAACCAGCAGAGGAGCCTGCGCCAGATCTGCATTTTGCATAATTTGGCCATGGCGTTCTTCATTGAGAAAATAAGTGATATTAATACTGGGGCGTTTAGTAATTTTTTAAAACTGTATGCTTGTTAATGGTTGTTTTTTTTTTTCCTAGCGAGTTATTAATCTAGGGATTTTTATAGATTCTCTGAAAACTCTGAAGAGTTTTCTTTCGTTCAGCAGCCAACACTAGTCTGTGAGCTACTTAATGTACACAAATATTTTGGCTGCCACTGCAATCTTTTTTTACTGCTCTCTTGTAGAACCTTGTCTTGTGGCTTATAGGTAAAACACGTGACACAAATCGTGTGGTTCTTAAGTGTGTGTACAGCATAGTGTGACCTGGTTTCTGAATTCTCTTAAGTGGTTTGAAGTCTTTTTACCCTTCTTGCTGTTGTTTTTATGCATTTTGCCAGGTGCCTTTTCAGCTTCTAGCTCAGAAATGGGAGAAACTTCTGGGGAGCGCTTGGCTTCGTGGTTAGCAATTCTCCAGCATGGAATCCCCCCTCGATGGCTCCCAGATGCGAGATAGTAACAGGATGCTGCTGGGCGGGAGAAATCCGGGAATGTCGGCAGTGCCATTAAATGCCTAAGGAGCAAAACCATGGGCAGTGCTGTAGCAATGTTTATGGTGTTTTTTCAGGTACCTGTTGGCTCGTTACGAAGACCAGCTATGGAGAAGTGGAGCTTAATGACAATTACTGTGTTACTAGCACTTACTGTACGCTGGACTGTGTCGCTTGGTTCTTACTCAGGTAATACGTGTTCACGGTCTGTAAAACAACCCCAGGAAGGTGAATTGTGGAGCTTATGGTGAATTAAAATAAACTTGCATGTAAAATTATAAATAGGAAGCAATGTGTTATTCAAGTATTGTCATATTTTAGTGCTTCTCTGTTCCCCTGAGGTTCATTTAATACCTCATTCTTATTTCTCCGAAGTGTGCAGTGATGAACGTCACAGCAGCTTGGAAAAAAATGCTGGGAAAAAACTCCCCCACAACTTTTTTTTTGTGGGGGTGTCGGATGGACGGGCATGGTCAGTGTTTTAGGAGGAGCCAAAGAACAGCTGGCTGGTCATCCCTGTGCCTTTGTTTCATTAGCTGCAGAACGTATTGCAGTTCAGCTGTACATTTGTTTAATCATAGAATCATGGAATGGTTTGGGTTGGAAGGGACCTTAAAGATCATCTAGTTCCAACCCCCCTGCCATGGGCAGGGACACCTTGCACTAGACCAGGTTGCTCAGAGCCACATCCAGCCTGGCCTTGAAGACAGCCAGGGATGGGGCATCCACAACATCTCTGGGCAACCTGTTCCAGTGCCTCACCACCCTCTCTGTGAAGAATTTCTTCCTGAATCTTGTCCTTTAAGTTCCCTAATAGATAAAACCTTAACTAATAGATAGACCTGTGCTGGTGCAAATGAAGACGGTGTAAAGGCAACATGGAGTGAGTGAGCACACTCTGCCTTGTAGCTGTACTTCTGTAAGGTTGTTTACAGCATGAACTGGAGCTGTGTTATTTTAATCGATGAGTCTTTCTCCTCCCCATCTCGTAACGCATGCAGGGAACTAGCATGTTCTTTTCCAAAGCTCTCGGTGCCATTCCTACACTTAGGGTAAGCTTGCACACAGCTTACTCTGTGTTCTCTTTTTTTTAAATGAACCATTACTTTGACTCCCCATCAGCTGAAAGAATCACAAATTCAGTCAAATTCAACCCTGGTTTTCTGGTAAGGCAACCGGGACCCACATCTGCTGAGTACCTGGAGCTCTTCTAGGGATTTTAAACTGGTAACTCCTGGGTTTCCTGGACTTAAGGAATCTGCTTGAAGATAAGCTGCATGCATACTCCGTGCACAGTTGGTTTACTTGGCTTTCTGAAAATGCCGTTTCAGGGGATCTGGCCTGTAGGTGACTGAGGCTCTCAGGAAGCCAAACGCTCTCTCTGGCCACACAATACTGAATTTCTGTTGCACTGCAAGTATTTACAATTACATTGTTAACTAGATTGTTTTAAAAGTGGATTAAATTTCAAACCAAGCAAGATTCTGCAAGTCTTAAAATAATGCCTGAACTAAAATAAGGATTTTTAAATCTTGTTTCCTACACAGTAATCATATAAATTCTTTCAGAATAGAAAAAGCTGAGCCTAATTCAATCCAGCAAAATATTAAAACGTGCTTAACTTTCAGCATTGGCTAGCTCAAAAGCAGACAAACCTGCATGTTAGAAAGAGCTGTCAGGTGCATAAGTACCCTTTTTTGTTTTCATCTCTTTGACTTCCTGTAGATGTAACAAACCTTCAAGGACAGGATCAAGAAAAAAAATTGGGCAGGGTAACGTTTAAACTGACGTGGTGCTGCTGTTTATTGCACTGAGCAGCAGTGAAAGCAAAAGTTGAGCAAAGGATTAGAAGTAGTCACCGATGGTTCTCTGAAGCGGACGTGCTGATTCGGCATGCCCTGAAACCACGGTGGCATGGATGGCCGGGAGTCGGGAGCTTAATTCTGCCCTCGTTACAGTGGCTGGGCCCTTTCCATCCTGTTGTTGCTTGCCATCTTGCATGCTTTTGGATCTGCCCCTGGAATTAGGGTCGTGATGGTGAGAAGGCAGATGCCTAATGCTGAGTTGTGAAAGATTACGATGGCCTTAGATCGGTTGGTTTTGGAGAATTATTGAGGAAAAATTTGGTGTCATAGATTAATGTATAATTTTTTTTTTTTAATGCATTGCCAAACTCCTGCTAAATTCTGAAGCCAATTTATGCATTTTCCTCTTTTTTTTTTCTTTTTTTTTTTTTGAGGAGAGGAGAAGCTGAAATAGAATGTGTGTTTATATATGTGTGTACATGCACTAACATTTTGGATAACACCTACATTTGTGTTTTGGTAATCCTCTGACAGGTTCTTTGTTCCACTAGACTTACAGCTACAGGATGGGCACTGATAAGACTCCTGTTCTCCAGAGACCTCACTTATTTGGACAACTGTTAGTTGAGTGTGTCATATAGTGGAGATAATCGACCCTCTCTGCCACCCAGGAATAAATTAGTGGACATGATCTGCGTTCTTCACTACTCAGGAATAAATAGCACATATCTGACCTTCCACAAACATAGAGCATGTGAAAAAATTATAGATGGCTTTCCTGTATTTTAAAGGAACCCTTAAATCTTTGGCTAGTGTCAGTATTTTACTGAAAGTACCATCAGCCCTGTTTCTTTCCGTTCTCAATACACGCAGGTTAATAAAGTAAATAACCTCTGCGATAAAGATGCGCAACATGCTGCCGGTGTCGGAGTTAGGCTTCTGTTGAGGGAATTGTTGATGAGTAGACATCTGGAGTGTTTGCATTGATAAAGCTTTTTTTCCATGGGGAAAACTGAAAATCGTAGTTGCCTGAGAGGCTTGAGTACGCATGTGTGAAGTGTCCTTTACCATAATTCCTAAATCGCTCAGTTGAAAAGTGGGTGAGGGAGAATTCTGTAAACCCAAGCAGAGCAGTTGTTACTTAGAGAGCTTTGTAGATTATAAGAAAAATGTTTTCTCGGCCTGTTCTGTGTACTGGGTGACCGGGTTCAGTAAACGCCTTGCCTTAACCCCTTACTGAGAATCCTGGGGAAAGGGACAGGCGCAGGATTCTTGCTGGCATTGCAGAGCAGGCAGCAGAGGAGGAGGAGAGGGACTGGGGGACTTGCAGCAGGCCCTGGGTCCAGGTATATTTAAGAACAAGGCTGGTTGTTACTTTCAACAGCCAGGTACCGTGACAGGGCTGAAACACCAGTGAGAACGTGGTCGATTATCACATACTTAGAAAGCAAAGTCGTTCACACAGAATCAGAGTGTGATGATCATTATGTGCATTTTCGTACTGCAGAGAAGGTGCCGCATTTTTCATCTACGCTTGGAAATGACTTTTTTTGTCGGATGAGGAAGCAGTTCTTCACAGTGGAATATCTTGATAAATGCTTATCGCAGAAATATCCAGAAAGCCAAAAGAACACCTAACTCTCTATTTCCTCCCTGTTAGACTGCGTAGCAGATGAGGCCTCTGTTCTGCTCTCAGATACAGAGGGATGGAGAATACGATAAGTAACATGTTAATATGCAATCTGCATAATCCAAATCAATCCCTAAATATTCTGTCGTCTCTCTTTAGGTGCAGGAAAACCACCTCTGTATGGAGACTATGAGGCTCAGAGACACTGGCAAGAAGTGACTTACAATTTGCCCATCAGGCAGTGGTGCGTAACGCTATTGTGGTTCAGATTGCAACCCGAAGGGGTAAATGCAACGAAACTTTGATTCGTATCTTAGTTCAATATACCTTTAACATCTCTGCAACTTCTTATACTCTCTCTGAACTATTCTAAAAATCCCTCTGTAGTAATGTGGTGTCACCCTGTTCTTAGACCAACGTACAGTTTTCTTCACACAAAAAAAAAAAAAGCTAAAATTTGGAAATTTGACTTGCTAGCTGTGTGCTTGTACAGTAAAATATTCTGAGTGGTAGGTCTCTCTGTTGTGGAGCTCTGGCTTTGTTTTGAATTGACTGGGAAGAAGTAGTTTTTCAGGGGGTTTATGTAAGGGCTCATAGAGAAGCTTGTTCTCCTGATTTAGAAAACAAACAGTTCAGCTTCTTGAGGTCCAGTTCTCTAATGCAGAGACATTCTGGATTATCAGCACTGACAAAACCAAACTGACCTCTGCTCCTCTCCCCTGAGCTGAAGGCAGGGGCGTGCCAGTCAGCGCAGAGACTGGAATTGCTGGGCTGGAGGTACTGGTGGTGTTTTACACCTACGAGTTCACTGTTCACCCCCATGTCATAATACAGGTTGTAAAATGTGGGTGCCCGGAATCTAGATGTAAGGATAGCGAACTTAATTTGTACAGATCACTTAACGCTGCAGGAAAATTATTCCGAGTATTTTATTTATTTTCACAATATTTCTAATACTCCTTGGAGCTTGCACGGAATGGTAAAAATTTAATCCATATATATGCTACAACACAAACTGGGATATGTTGGAACTACAGGTCAACTTCCCGTAGAACAGGGATAGTGGCAATCTGTTTGTCTGGTGTAATTTTTCCCTGGGCTGTCAGGGCACGGACCGATATGACAGAGTATCAATTCAGTTGTATTTCTGTACATATGTGTGGGGCCGGATTTAAAATACAGCACTTGTGGAACCCTGCAGATGGCTCTACACTGTGTCTTCAGGTCACCCTGTCGTATCTATATTATCATTTCTCATCTGCACTTCCCTGGGATACCCAAGCCAGAGTTGGAATGATGGAGAGCTGACATACAGATAGAGTTGGCAGCTCTGATCCACTCTGCTATGCGGAACTATGTGTACTGAAAACTGAGAGTTACAGCAGTCATCATTTCTAGGCATTGCCAGGGGCCAGATGAAACGATTGCAGGCTGGGTTTAGCCCGCGGGCTGCCAGTTGGGCACCTCAGTCTTTTATTTGTGCTTCATTTTATTTACAACAGAAGTTTCTTGGATTGGGTCTGCTTTGGCAACTGAATCTCTAATACAGCAAAGTCATAGTCAGTCTTGGGCGTTTGGAAAAGGACATCTTGGCTGACACGCAAGGGATGATGTTCTAGAACACTCAGCTGTCCTTCCCCTCCTGTGTTGCAGAAATACGCGGAGGGAAAGATGTTAGACTCCGTATGTAAAATTAGTGTTCGCACCTGGAGTTTGAGATTCTGATTGCTTTTCGTACTGCTTTTTGTTTAGTGTTTCCAAAAGCTGTCTGTGCAGCACGCACGTGTCCATCTGTAAGTGTGTCTAGAGAGCAGCTCTCTCCTGAGGACATCGTCCTAGAGAATCCCCTTCACCTTTTCACAGACTCAGCTGTCAAGTTTACTGCCAAACAGGCACGTGTAGGTAGTAGCGCTGCATGTTCCATGCTTGTTTCCTTTGGTCCAAACCAAAGATTTATTAGGAAAACCCGCTGCAGTAAACTACAGTATGGTTTGCACTTGCTTTCCTTGGCGGAGGTTTCTCTGTGCCAGAGGCCAGAATTTAAGTATTTCTTTTTTGCATTATTCTTTAGAGTCTTGGCATTATTAAAGGCTACTTTAAGAACATCCTTTCTTATTGTACTGCTGATTAAAACTGTGAAGGTTTTTTTGCCAAATATTACTGGATATAGGGGTGTTTTTTTCTGTTGAAACTATGAGTTCATGGAAGGTAAGGTAAATAAGAAAACCCAGAACTGGAAAGTTTACTGCTAAGTTGCAGACCGTTACAAATCTGCATGAAGAATCTGAGCTGCCTTGGCATAAGCAATCGAATCGTAGGATCAGAAGCAGAGACACAACTCAAAGAAATGTGATTTATCATCAGTTCACAAGATACTTCAGGCAGCTCATAAAGAATTCAAGAAATCTCATTTACTATAATAAATGTCAAAAATTGGCTGCATTTGAAGGGAGAAACCGGGAAAGCCAAGCGTTTGCCCCTCGGGAGTTAGACTAGTCATAGTGTTTCACTGCAAGATAAGGGGTCTGATGCCTGATTTTTGTAACTTCTGTTTTCCTTGGATCAACCCTTCTGTTTCCCATGTGGACGCGGTGACTTGATTTTAACCGCTGTCAGCCTTCTGCAGGAATACCGGCACAACAGATGGGGAAACCCTTGTCTTTCTCTCCACGGGGTCCCACCTAGGAAAAAAGGAATCTGGGATTAATAGAAGGCAAATAATTTCTTTCGGCATTTCCTTTTAACGGCATTGTTTTATTTCCTTCTTGGCAAACTGACTGCTGTCTTCTGGAATAACTGACATGCATGAAAACGTAGGGTTGGTTTGTCGATGGCGGTGGGGAGCTGCAAAGCCCACCACGTAAACGGGTCGGGAGCCACAGCAGAGGTGTGCACCTGGTTTTGTGCAGGCTTTGTCTCAGTCCCTGCATTCTTGTCAGACGGGTCACACGGCAGATTTTCCCTCTCTCCGGAAGCTCCAGCAGCTTTCTGGAATCTTGCGTTTCGCCAATGTGTGCGTACTCTGCATCGCCTTCGCTTTTCCTTTGTTACTCGGGATTTTTTCTGTGTCAAGTAAAATGAAGCAGATACAGCAGTTGCTAACGTCCTTTGGGATTTGGAATGTGTTGATAGAAATACTTGGTTTAATATTCAGCCTTTTCCTTGGCCTGAAACAAGGAAATTAATTCTTAAAGTTTTATTTTTTGTAGGTACTTCAATACAAGTGACAACAACCTGCTGTACTGGGGCCTTGATTATCCACCTCTCACTGCCTATCACAGCTGTCTGTGTGCTTACATGTAAGTTCGTTATTTTAAATACTTAACTTCCGTGGAGAATACAACCACCACATTCCCCCCTCTCTTCCCACCCACGCCCTACCTTCCACAAGTTGTTTTCCTGTCTCTCTCTCAAGGAGAGAAACGAGTAGCTCAGACTGCCCATCTGGGCAGCTGATGGACTGGAAAGTGGTGTTTGCTACTTTAAAGTCAGGGAAACGGATTTTATGTGTATCCCTGTTGCTTAAAATCCATACTACTCTTTTTCTGTCTTGTTGTTGCAAGGCTTCCATTCTTTTTGCCAGGTCCTTAAATTTCAGCAGGTTTAGATGTGACCTGGATATTTAGCTTTCCATATAAGCCACTGCTGGACCTGTGATGCACCAAGTGCTGTAGGAGTTGGGTGTATCCCATGGGAAACCGCACTTGTATTGAGAGCCCAAGTGACATTTGATGACTGGATATCATGTAAATAGAATTCTGTTATTGGAATACTTTTTCCACAAGGGCTTTACTGTTGTTGGAATGAGACTTATGGAATAAGAATGTAGGTTAAAGTGCACGGGCAGAGTTATGCGGGGCATCTATGTGAACTGTAAATGGTTTATATTTAATACTTAAGTATGAGAGGTATTTACAATTGTTTTTTTTAAAGACAGTGGAACGAGACTGAAGGTAGTTGTCTTGTCCTAATAAATGTTGTGTTCTGGCTTTACTGTTTTCAGATGATTTTTTAATTGTGAAATAGCAGTTCAAGTCAGTAGTGTAAACTGATCTAGTGGTGAGGAGAATCTTCCATTGATCACTATTGCTCTTTGAAATATTTCCTCTCATTCATCTTAATTCTTGGAATACGCTCCGGTGCATGTCATCTTTATTGCTGAAGGGAGTGTAAAGGGAAATGAGAACTGTCTACATTTTGATGTGTCTGTACTTTGTTTTACAGTGCAAAGTTAATAAATCCTGATTGGATTGCTCTGCACACATCTCGGGGGTATGAGAGTCAGCCACATAAGTTATTTATGCGTGCAACAGGTAGGACGATTGCATTTCCGGAGGGTGATGGTGCAGATTTGTCTGGCTTACTGATTTGGCATGTTTAGTATCACACAGCTTCTCTGCCTTCACCAGCCTATGCTCAGTCCTTTGGTTCATGAACAGACCTGCAGATCCACCCAAGTCAGACTCCCCTGTGCTTTCCTTTTCTGCCATCAGTTGTGAAGCTGATAAATATAAAACACCCAAACAAGTTTTCAACCAAATGGCCTCAGTATAAACTCTAAACCAAAACTGCCTTTTTTTTTTTGTAGCTGTTGTGGTTTGGTCCACTAAAACCAGCACAGTAGCACAGGCCCATTTTTTTCTTTTGAATTTTGAACACAGTGCTGCTGATCTCCCGATAAATGGGCTTTCCATTTTCAGCTCATCTGGGGGTTGACTGTAAAGCTATTTTGCATGTAGACCAGCATTTCCAGCCTCTTGAGGTCCGAGATCTTTATTCCAAGCTGTTAGACTTTATCTGAAAGGGAGAGTTGTTTGATGTTTTTAAAGGTGTCACTTTGCTTGCAGTCACCCCTTTTAGAGATAAACTGCTGTGAGCAAAAAGGTAAAAATCTATTTGCCCACTTCCATCTCAAATTTCATGTTCCTGCAGTCACTCTTCTGACCATCTGATTGTTTTGAGCTGCCCCTACAAAGGCAAGGTGAAAACAAGTGCAGAAGGAGGTGTGTA